AAAAAAAAAAAAAAGTGGCTCGCGATCCTCAAAAAAAAAAAAAAAAAAATTTCATATACAGACTCTTGTAGGCAAACAAAAATGGCCTGCAAAAGTGTTCATGTCCTAATTCCTGGAATCTGTGAATATGTTACCTGGAGCATCAAAAGGGATTTTGCTGAAGTGATTCATGTTAAATGTGTTAAGGTGGGGAGATATCCTGAACTATCTGGGTGGGCCCAATATAATCACAAGCAAGTTTAAAAATGAAAGGGGTTGGGGCTGGCAGGTGGCATGGTGGTTAGGGGCACTGGACTCCCACATGGCCGATTGCAGTTCGAGTCTTGGACCTGGCTGCTTGATTTCTCACTTTCTCTTTCTCTCTCTCTCTCTCTCTCACTCAGTTCCTTTCTGGTAAAAATAAACAATAAAACATTTAAAAAAGTTAAATAAAATAAACCAATTCTTTGGAAAAAAAAAATGGAAGAGGTAGACAGAAAAGGACAGAGAAAAAGATGTGATTGTAGAAGCAAGTCAGAGAGAGGCAACATACCTGGCTTTGAAGATAGAGGAAAGGGCCAGAAGCCAAGGAATGTGGGTGGACTTTCCAAGTTTGGAAATACTAATAGAAATGTCTTCTCACCTAGAGCCTTGAGAAGGGAACAAAGCCGTGCTTGCATCTTGGAGGTTAGCCCAGCAAGACTCAAGATGGATTTCTAGCTTATCAAATTATAAAGTGATATATTTGTGTTGTTTTATGTCACTAAGTTTTAGTAATTTGTTACAGAAGCTATTGAAAACTAATATATACAAAGGTAGAGGAAAAAGTATGTAATGAACCCCCTTTTCCCCATTACCCAGCTTCAGCAATTCACAATCTATCATCAATCTTGTTTTATCTTTACTTAGCTAACTCACTTTAGTCCCTTCGTACTTATTTTTTATGAAAACTCCAGGAATATCTTTTCATTTGTAGAATTTCAAAATGTACCTCTGAAATATAAGGACTCAAAAAACTAACAAAGTGATGTTAGCAGGCCCAGGCACTAGCACAGTGATTAAGTGCTGCACATGAAAAGTGGGACTCTCATGTGGCCAAAACGTATGGTATGCATGCCCCAAATCTTGATAGGATGGAGAAATGGAGGAAAAAGGATTGGGGGTGTGGGGAAAAGCTTTCTGGTGAGTGCACATGCCTGCTGGTAACAATAAAAAAAGAGTGGCTTTAGCATTATCACTCCTGGCGTATTACCAGTATTTTAACATTTATAGTCCAGGTGTTGATTTAGTATTGAGAAATTTAGCAAGAACGAGCATTTAACTATAAGAATGGCATGTTATGGGAACCAGCAGTTAGCGTAATGGCTATGTCGCTGGTCTCCCACGTAGTTGACCGCGGTTCGCATCCCGGACCTGGTGGCTTAAAACTCATGTCGGGCGTGTGTGCGTGCGTGCCCAAGATCCCGAGAGGAGAATGGAGGAGAAGGGATTGCGGTGTGACCATCCCCCCTGGGGGGTGATTTCTCGCTTTCTGTCTCTCTGTCTCTCTGTCTGTCTGGCACGCGCCCTATAGCGAAAAAACCTCTCCAAAAAGAAAAAAGAATGGCATGAGTTAAGTTATGACTTAACTCTTCTGATGTGTAAAAATACACTGATTATAAGCATTATTTTCAGTCTGTTATGTCTTTTATCTTTGATAACATTTTAAATTTTTTTTTTTTTTGGAGAGGTTTTTGCTATAGGGCGCGTGTGCTTGCCAGACAGAGACATAGAGACAGAAAG